TCATCTTATTTGACATTAAATCAACTACATATTTATAGTGACAATGTGGCACTAGCTTCTTTTCACCTCTCGTGTTTTAGAGCTAGGTGCTAGCTGAGACATGTCCATTAACACTGTTAACTCCTGTGGGTTAATCAGCCACAAAGTGCTCCTGACACTCACAATCTCACAAAGGAAGAAACAAACTGTAGAACAGACTGAGACTCAGTCATGGCCACTGTCAGAGAAGTCTATGTACCTCTCGACCTCATCCTGCTGACTCCTCACTGGAGGCTGCACTGGGGGCCAGGATATAAGATGAGCAGGGACAAGCACAGAGGCAGCATCCTTGTCCTGTTACACTGCAAGTGGAGAGGGAGACAGGGGAAGACCGCTGCCAGCCGTGGTAACAAATGCTGAGCCACATACTTGTTCCCAGTGAAAGGGAGACAGGGCTGGAGAGCTGCCAAGTTTAGATACTGGGTCTTCTCATGGAGCTGTGGCCTGATTTGAGTCTCAAAGGGTAGGCAAGCACTTTTAAGAGGCAATCAGTGCAAGGAGCACACTGTCCTGCAGGTTGGATGTGGAGGAAGAACAGAAAAGCCACAAAGACTCCAGGTATTATATGGGCAGCATTTTAAAGCTGGATCTTCTGGGAGAGAGCCACAGAGGCTCGTGGAAGATTTTTAGTCAGGAGACAAACATGAGGGCTGTACCTGAGAAGGTCAGGGCATCAGCAATCTCATCTCTGCTGACTGCAGGAGCCACAGCCTACTGTGTCATAGAGACAGTCAGGACTCCAGCTCTAGAGGCCAGAGAAAAGCAGGCTGGGATATGTTTGTGAGTACAAGACAGGGATGGTAGACAGTAAGAAGCGGAAAGGGTGGTGGGTCTGACTAGCAGAGTGGTAAACTTGAGAATTTTCCTCTGGTGCCTGTAGGCAGCTAGGTGGTTGGTCTGCAACCTATTAGAGAGGTCTGGAGGGGAGCCGTAGGAATTCTCTGCCCCTTTCTAATTCATTCAGACAGGTTTCCACAGTGATGCTCAGATCACAGTGAGAAAACACCAGCAGCCCCTCCCAGCTTTCCATCCCTATGACCCTCCTCCTCCTCCTCATGTCCACAGCCACCCGACGAGAGCCTCAAACAGGGCGACTGGAGAGCGTAGAGTAGAGGTGCTGGAAAGGGGGCCCCAGGAAAGTTTGTGGTTATTTTTCAGGTCAGTGGGTCAGCAGATGGGAAGATGAGGAGGAAGTGACAGTGTCTCTGAGGCGACTTCTCTGCTCATACTTCCTTCTTTAATTTTTTCTTGTTCCAACTTGGGGCAAAAATAAGCTACCTTCTGCGGCAGAAGTAAAACCCAGGGTTCATGATACATCTCCTGTTTCCCTTCTCTCACTGCAGACCTGGCTACACAGTGTATCTTCTATTTCTCTTTCACTGTAGACTAAAACTCGGCACGGATAATCTAATTGCACAACATGTTGTTCATATTCCTCCCTTGTCAGTGACATGTAATGGCTGCCTATTTCCTCTCAGAAGAAGATTGAAGCTTCACTCCACACCCAGGGTCACCTCTCTGGCCCACTAGTCTGTCGGCTGCCAAGTGCTTGAAATATGGCTGATGTAAATGTATATTTACTTAATTCTATTTACCTTGATCCATTTAACAGACCACGCCCACCTACAGTGACTGCCAAGTTGTCTAGCACAGTGCTAGTCAGGGGCTTGGTCTTCTCTCTTCTAGAGTAAGGCTGCATTTCTGGCCTCACTGAAACCCTCAACCTGCTCTTGCCCCAGGGAATTCTACAAACTCCGAGTAGCTGCAGTTTCAGTGTTTGCAGAATTGTCTCTTTCCCTTGTCCCCCTATAACCAGCTCTGCAGCCCATGCCTAGTTCATTCCTCCTCCCTGAGGAGATTCCTGACCAAGAGTGTGGAGACCAGTTCATAGCAAAGCTTGTCACTGTGACCATTGTGATTACAAGGAATTAACCATTGACAGCTGCGGATCACCTACGAAGATAGACTGTTCAAAGAAGTAGCAAAGAATGTGAATCAAAGCCAGGACCCGCCAGGCTGCTGCTCCCACACTTAGATCATCCATAAGAGGCCTGCCTGGTGGGCCAGGACTGGGGGCTAAGATGGGGCAGCAAGCTCCTCTGCTGAGTAGCTGGTGCACTGTGCCCCAGCTGCACTGTTCCCCCTGACTTTAATTGACTTCCAGCCGTGTATAATGTGTACAGCTCTCTCCACATGCTCTAACTTACAGTGCGTGACCCTGGACATATGGTCATACCGAGGACAGTAGATGACAGCAGGCACTAAAGAAACACTGGCTATATGGTAAATATATGGTGAGTGCTGTCACTTTAGGCACTGTCTTGGTGCTGTGCTGCCTTTCTGTCACACGGCTGTCATGTTCTCTTTGGGCTATATTTAAGAACACTAGGTATTCACAGATCTTCCTGCCTTCCCCAGGCCGTTCTTCAGGGCACAGGTGTTATTAGGGGGTTTGGCTAGTGTTTGTTTTCACCATAAAGAAGCATGAAATTTCCTCAGAACTGAGTATAGAAGAATACCCTAGCCATTGGGTTCCATGTTCATCAACTTTCCTCTAATCTACACTGTCTTTTTAGTTTCTTCGAATCCCTGTTCCGTTTCTGGATGCTTCTGACGTCTTCTACTTCTCTTGCCTCTAGTAATGATTCTAATAAGGTCTGTGGGAGTCTGGGAGTGGCTCAAGAGACACCACATGCCTTTACCTAATTTTTCCCTTTCCATGTTGGTTCTATTTGGTTCTATGGATGCTCTTTATCACTCTGCTGCAAGAAAGGGGTCCTCTTCCCAGATCTGATGTTGCTTCAGATGAGCAGCCGTAAGAGTTGCACTGGGATGGGCTTACACAGAAACCATTACAGCAGAAGAGAATGCCCACTGACTGCCTCACTCTTCATCTTCTTCAAAAGTGTTTTGTGTGAAGGACACACTCACTTTTGTCTGTGTACCTTCTCCCTAGTACAGAAGAGTCTTTTCACCATATACTGTGACATAGAAAGATACAATGTTGCACAGAGTCTTCAGTCCTTCATTCAGGTCTACTCCTTGTTGTTCCAGGGCCAATGCCTATTCATCATCTCACCATCCTGGTGGGCCCTTGGAGGAAGTGGTCAGCCCAGGGAAAGACTCTAGAAACTGTAGATAGCTGAGAAGAAAGATTGGAAATACAGGTTTAGGGTTTTGTTTTGCTTTGTTTTTGTTTTTTGGTGAGGGGTGCCAAGACACACTGATACAAAATGATCTCTTTACAAACCAAGTGGGCATCAAGCTGACAAGTCATCTTCCACGACCACTGTCTATATGCTTTCCCTTGCTGATGCCCGTCCAATGCAAGGCTCAACCAAGCATGTGCTGCAACTCGTGCAGTTCCCTACTGGGAGTTAAGGAATGAAGCTGTAACTGTCTTATAGGAACACAGAGTGGTTGCAGGGGTGAAGGGCCCAGCTGGGTGGAGCCCTGTGCACAGAGCCCCGTTGTCCTCTGCATTATACACAGGACAGCTCTCGATACAGCTGGAGTGAGTGGAGAAAAGACTACCATCCTGTGTAAAGTTCTAGTGCTTGGAAGGATACCGTGAACATGAATAAAGGCTGAGGTCCGTGGGCCTAGGAGCTAGGTGAACAGGAGTCAAAAGCACCAGGGAGAAGTTTCCAGTTAAATGTGCTAAAGGTGAGGGTGAAGATGGGAGTCTGAGCCTGGAGTGAGAGACGGAGGACACTCTTAAAGATGGTCTTCATTCTTATAGCTGGACCTACTCACCCGTTGACAGCAGTAAGTGTGAGCACACGCCTAACTGAGTGTGGTCGGTGGTTTCTGTGTGTTGTCTGTTTAATCGTCACAATTCTACACTGTAAGGACCACCATCAACACTCTAGCTAGTATGGAAACAGGCCCGGAGACGCATCAGTCAAAAACAAGAAGAGAAAGGAAGGTCTCTCTCGAGTCAGGTGAAACAAAAGGGATGAGGATGAACTTGATAATTTAGCCATGTTATTCATATCTCAGGGATCAACCGAAGCTAACTAAAGGAACAAGAGGTAGAGGCTTTCCTTGTCAGCAGAGTGGAGCACAGGCACTTGGTATCAGTGAGGGCAGAGCGTCAGCACAAGGTCAAGGCTTTGAGGAGAAGTAACTGACGGTCACTGTTGAGCTGGCTAGAGATGAGAGAAGGCAGGAGTTAGAAGAAAGGAAACCAGGGTGGCGAATGGGTCACTTTGGAGGTACAGGAAGGAAGGAGAGAGTTGTTCTGGGTGGGGGTCACCATGGAGGTGCAGGTCAGGACCCAAACAAACTGACAGAACTCTGTAGGAAGGCAAAAGACAATTATAGCAGGCAGTGGGTGGAAGGATCTGGCCTCAAGTCCTGCTTCTGCTTCTGTTGGTGACAATCTCACTAGAAACGTAAGACAACTATAGCATCCAAAGCCCTTGGCTTACAGCAAAGTGAGGCAAACACAGTGGACAGGGGACTGGAGGGCATGAGATGACACTTGGCCAGAAACTTTATGAGGTGCCAAGCCTTTGTGGGCTGGCATGTGAGTATGGTCTGCTGAAGAGACCGTGTTGGGCAGAGAGGTCCAAGCTACAGGCTGCCTCCCCAGAATGGCCATGGAGGAAAACCAGGCAACTTCCGGTGGTCTCTGCAGCTGTGTGGGCCTTACTCTAAGCACAGAGCGGGACATTATTGTGTCCCCTGTCAGATACTCCCACGCAGGAAAAGGAAGCACCTTCCGTCAGATGCTGTGGCCACTTCCTCTTCAGAGGCTCCAGCCAATCTCCGTTTTGCAGCGCTCGGGGCCGGAGGCAGCTGGACTGCAGGAACTGGTGGTCGGTTGGGCTCCTTTCAGGAGCAAGACCCTGTGGGGTGTGGGGGAGAACAGGGCTTCCTCTCAGCCTCCCCCCACCCCCTCACTTTTGACTTTTTCATGTCCCTCGGTCAGCCTGCCTGTCTGTTCCTCTCTATAGCTCGGTCGAGGAGCGTGATGACCGGGGAGCAGATGGCGGCTTTTCACCCACCAACCACTCCCAACCCCCTGGAAAGGCCAATTAAGATGGGCTGGCTGAAGAAGCAGAGGTCCATTGTGAAAAACTGGCAGCAGCGGTACTTTGTGCTGAGGGCTCAGCACCTCTTCTACTACAAGGACGAAGAGGACTCAAAGTCGCAGGTACCTGCTGGATGTGTGTCCCTGCCTCAGGCCCAGAAGATGGGTCTTGCTTCAGGCAGGGGCCCGCTGGCTGCTTCACTCCTATAGGTCCTGGGGTCAGACACTTCCACCTGGGGCGATGCTGTGGCCTTGTGACTTTTCTCTATGTTCCTTGGGTGTGAGGTTGGTAGAAATGTTCTCACTAGCACAGCATGGTTTCTGGGTCACCCCAAGTCCAGCCTCACACCATAATGGTGGCAGTGAGATGGTAACCCATCATGGTAGCGTAAGAGACCTGATTTAGGTACTTTTGGGGGACAGGGTTCAATAAATATGTATTGAACAAGTATTGTATTTAATTCCAAATATATGTTACCACTGTAGACACTCGAAGTAAATCAGTGGGAAAGATCTGCTGAACAGAGCAGGAAGTAATCACAGTAAGTAAGGAAAAGATGCGTTAGGCAAGAAAGGAGGAGAATCTGGTGAGAGAAGTTCGGGAGACACGTTGCCATCTTAAGCGGGTTGTGCAGACTGACTTTATGCAGGTTGTGGCAATGCTAAGGAAGGGCTGCTTGGTGGATCTCTGGGACAAGCGCCTCCTGGGCAGAGGGAACAGCCAAACAGGCTAGAGGGGCACGTGTGACCTGTGTGGGCAGCCCTGGGGGTCTGGTGGGCAGGAACAGAACCAGTGCTGGGAAGCAGAGTGGGAGAGAGGTCAGAGAGGTGAGGGCAGGGGTCAGGTTGTGAATGTCATTGAAAATGCTCGGGCAGTTACACCCAGTGTTATGGGACCCACTTCAGGGTTGTGAACAGAGGAGAGACAGCCGTTAGCTTGCTGTAAACAGATGGTTCTGTGTGCCCTAAAACAAACTAATGTTGGAGCGGAGAGCACAGGGCACAGATGATATGGGTAAGTGCTTACAGTGCTAGGAATGCCAGAGGGAGCTGGGGGCTGAAGTCAGGGGTCAAGTTCAGGATAGACTTTGGGAGTAAAGGAACTGAGTCCCACATGAGGGCAAGGCTAAGTCTGCCAGACAGCTTTGATCTCCAATCCCAGGCCTGGAGCTCTTCAACCTCTCCTCTGTGCTGATGCTCTTAGTGGGTAGTAAGGGTGGGACAGGCCACCATAAACCATGACTGTGGGATCCTGAATATAAACTGAAGCCTCTAATCCCCAAGATGGCTCTAATCCCCATGTTCATATCTGTGGTGATGGAAGTGGGGTGGAAAGGCTTTACTAGAATTTACTAGACAAAACAGACTCCAACAGTTAGGAAGGTGAGGCTAAGACATATATGGATGTCGGGGTGGCTAAGCAGATGAACGGACAAGCAGATGGGTGGAACCAAAATGAAACAGTCACTGAGTTTCCACTGAGCTGAGCTTTTGCGGACGTCTGTGTGTGGTGGCTGGACTTCCTGTTCTTAATGGGCGACTCTGAGAGGCAAGGGCGCTTCAGCCACCTGAGCCCACAGAAAGGGCCGCTGGGTAGTGGTTGTCTCCGTGCAGTGTGGAAAGCGAAAGGTGTTTCCCACGGAATGCTGTGTTCTTTTCATGGCGCTGCAATTCCTGTTTCCTTTTGTGGATCCAACTTTCTTGCTTAAAACAAGATAATACTGCTTGGCCTGTGTTTGCCAGGTAATCTAATAACACAAAACACACGTAAAAACCTGTTCTGTAAAAACAAGCTAGTATCAAAGGGTAGAGGAGTCACATGTGAGTCCTGGCCTGCTCCCTTGTAAGAAATTCACAGCTTCTCGGGATTGAATTGACCAGGAATGAGTAAGCAATGCAGTTCTTCTTAAGTCCTCACGGATGGTTTGTTTGTGTGAGATCTGTGAACGTTATAATCAGCGAAAGAGGGCAAGCAAGGAAACCATACAGCCCCCCTCCCAAGGGACCTGAGAAAACAAACACGCTCATTTCAGATCTAAAAATAAAAATTGTAGGGATAGATGGTTACCCCTTATGAAGGATTTATTTTGCTATGTGTTGCTGGGTATCTTTGATTGTAAAAGCTGCACTGTTCACTGTAGGAAATTTAGATCATCAGAAAAAGACAAATAAAAAAATTATTCACCATCTCATTAAGGAACAACTGCTTTAATCCAGCATTCTTTGTCCACAGATACTTAGAAAGTGATCCCTTAAGTGTGAAATAAGGCCATAATTTAGTAAAAGTGGCAATAAGCCACAAATATTGTTCCTTAGTGTTGAATATTAGTCTACAATGTTACCAGTGATCATGGCAATTAATGTATAAAGTTTCTGAGGTCTAAAAAACTAATTTCTGACTGTTGGAAAATAGAGTCGATGGTCACATATTATTATCACAAACCAGAGCTGGCGGCTATCTTTCAGTCTTCATACAATCTCCACTATCTCATTAAAATAGAGATAATCTATTTCATGTTCTATTAACTACACTATCATTTGTTACCACTTTTGGGGAGTCTTGAAAATATCTAGAAATGAACTGGAAGTTATAGTGGCTTCTTGAAAACAAGGAATGGTCTATTTCCACATTCCTGAATGTGGTTAAAGACCTGACTGGGAAGCACACATCTGCAGGAATAGCAGACAGAACGGCAGCTGCCTGCATGGGCTTGGGGGAGTTGCTATTTTAAAGCAACCAGAGTGACACAAGAGGAAGACTGGCTTACTTCATAACTAAACATCAATGTCAGAAAATAAAACTTCAAATAATAAATGGGAAACTGGGTGTGTATATTTGTTAAACAAATGTTCTTAATATTTAAAGTATTCTAAAACTGTAAGAAAAATTCAAACCAACCTATAGGAAAACGGCCAAATTTACCAAAGAAATGCAATGGCCAATAAGCATGTATTAAAACTTTGATCTCGGTAATAATTAGTGTTATACAATGCTCATGGAGGAGCCACCATGTTCTCTTGTCACAGTGGGAGAACACCATGCACAGCTGGAGGGGCAGGATCCCCTTCCTTACAGAGGACCTTTGTCCCACATCTTCATGTGCAGGAATTAACCTAACAGGCCTGTCAGCGGGGTGATAGTAAATGCTTTACAGCAGGCTCTGAGGACAAGTTTGTCTCTGTGTAGAATTTGCCAATTTCTGTGGTCTAAATATTCATTTCACGATTGATTCAAAGTGCCACATGAGGGATGGAGGCATGGCTCAGCAGAGCACTGCCATAGGACCCAAGTTTGATTCCCAGAACCCATGTGGTAGCTCACTGTATCTCCAACCCCTCTTATGGTTCCACAGGTACCAGGCATGCATGTGGTACACAGCTATACACGCAGGCAAAACATGCACACACATAAATCAAAAAAATCAAAGTACCACATGATGTCTCAGATGCCAAGAGCTCCCTCCGTGTTATGTAAAATTAGTACCACAGAGATAAATCACACCACAGGCATAAAAAGATAGGGTGACGAACAGGAAACAACAAGTTTGGGATAACACTATCTTTCTATTTCCTTACTTTTCAAATGATGTGGGGGAGCTGTGTGCACAAGAGTGCAGGTGTCCGAGGAGCACAGAGACATCAGCTTCCCTGAAGCTGACACGTATGGGGTCCCTGTGCTGGGAACCAAAACCCACTCCTCGGAGAGAAGTAAGCACTCTCAACTGCTGAGTCCTTTCTCCAGCCCCACACCATCCTTTTAAACAGGAAACCATTTTCCATGTGCTCACATAGTGTAAGTCTTATCGATGGCTGTGCTTAGCAGCTGGCCACAGAGCTTGTGAGTGTGCCTCAGTCTGTCCTCTGGAGCCAGCACACTCTAGCTCTGCCTCATGTCCACCCAGGGTCCACCCATGCCAACTGGCAAAGTTAGTGAGTGGTAGTAAATATGACCACCTGGGCCCTTCCTCCCCCTCACTGCCCCACCTTTACCCCCAGGGTGTCTTCCTCTAGTCACCCTCCTGTTTGACTATGATGTCCAAGGGATGGGGACATCTGTTGGGGATATCTGTCGGGGGTGTTGATGCCCAGTGTGAGTGACTTGAACTCTGTGACTTTTTTTGAGCTAAGACTGGTTGGGAAGTTCTGGTCAGGAATTCTGGCTTCTCACTGTCTGGTATTCAAACGGTCCTTTTCCTGTTTAGTTACTTGTGGTTAATTAACTTACCGGCTAATTAACCTCTCTACGCCTTGTTCCCTCACCTCTCCACAGGAAAAACAGTCCTTCCTGGATTTCCCATGATGACCTGCTCCACTATTAGGCGCAGTGAGCAGTTTGACACCTGGCAGTTGCTCAATACATTATACATATATGGAGTAATACCAATACTTTATTTTTACAATTTTGTGATGAAGTGATTTGGGGTGTCAAAGGACAGTTTAGAGAGGTACCTCTGAGACTAACTTCCGTTCCTGGTGGCATTTCTTCCTGAATACAAAGGACGTGCCTTTTTCCTCTGGAGCCGCACTAACCCAAACTAGTACAGCAACCATATGGCACGAGGACCATGCTGTGAGACAGGCAGTCTCCAGACAGTGAGGACCTGCAGGTGACAGGATTAAAGGCTAATGAGGTATCAAGTGCTCCACCTTATGGGCAGGCTCACAGTGCTCCCCGTTATAGACAGGCTCACAGTGCTCCCCGTTATAGACAGGCTCACAGTGCTCCCCCTTATAGACAGGCTCACAGTGCTCCCCCTTATAGACAGGCTCACAGTGCTCCTCCTTATAGACAGGCTCACAGTGCTCCCCGTTATAGACAGGCTCACAGTGCTCCCTCTTATAGACAGGCTCACAGTGCTCCCCCTTATAGACAGAAACCCTTTTCTCCTTTTTATTTCTGCTCCTCTCTGTTGTCTTTTTTCTCTTTCCCCTCCCCTTCCTCCGTTCCTCCCTCCCTGCCTTCCTCTCTGCCTGCCTCCCTCCCTTCTTTCCTCCCTCCCTGTCTCTCCTCTTTCCTCTTATTCTTTCTTTTTCTTTCTCTCTCAAACATCTCTATTCCTAGACCTGGAAGCTTCCTACTTCCAGGCCTTGGATGTTATTTTAGAATATCTTAAGCCTCCGTTCCTTCAGCGTTTTCACTGCTGCTGATTTTTTGTTTAGACTGTTCAGAATGACAACAACTTAGAATGAGATTAGGAGTAACTCGATCCAGAAAAAAAGTTGGCCCTGTCACTTCAGACAGTCATTTGGCTCCCAGTCTAAATCTGTTCTGAATGGTGGGAATGACAGTCCTAGCAGCCCCGGTGCTGTGAGGATGCCCTGTGGGTAAGCCCCGTGCAATCACTGAAGCATCGTGTGCGATCGATGTAGAACTGACTTGGCTCTCTGACAGGCCATCTCCAGTCAGGATCTTTCCCTGCCTGCCCTAGGCATGGGCAGCTGCTTCTCACTCTGGCTGAGTCAGAGGGGTGCCCTTCAGACCGGAAGCAGCTTTCATGTTTCTCTGCTTACCCCCCTCCTCACCCCGCTGTTACTATCCCATTCATTCTCCTAACTTAACTGCTTCCTAGTTAAAAAAAAAAAAGCTGCTTGTTACATAAAAGTATAATCTTTGATCTTTCAGGGCTCCATGTATTTGCCAGGCAGTACAGTCAAAGAAATCGCCACAAACCCCGAAGAAGCTGGGAAATTTGTCTTTGAAGTTACTCCAGGTAGGTACCCTGCATTTCCATTCCACACCTAGAAGTCAAGGTTATGGTCCATCATCCAACCATGTTATGAACTCACAGTGGCCTTTCATATAGTTGAGGAACTTATCCCAGGTGACTAGCTAGCATCAAGGGCTTTAGAGCCACCCAGGACAAACGGGGCCCATTGGTGCAATCTCAGGAGCGTTCCAGGAGTCTGGCTGGATACAGGAGCTGTAGCATGAGGCTCTGGGACCTCCCTGTGAGCAATCATCATCCATGCTCACACACTGCAGAGTACTACAGCTGAGATAGGCTCTGAGCGGTGGGGTCTCCACTTGAATGAGGTGTAGTGATCAAGTGACAGTGGTCGTATGTGTTCCAATAGGACCAAACGAGAAATGCAAGTTTTAGCTTTTGAGAACTTTAAACATGCCAGGCGCTGCATGTCCAGTGTGCACACATGGGCTGTATGCTGGAAGGTACCTGTTCTGATTGAAGGACATATTAGGAGCAAAGGGAATTTGGCACATACCCTGGACCAGACACCTTGGGGCTGTTTTTTCTTCCTCCCTGTCTCTTGCTCTGAGACAGCCATAGCCCTTCTAGGAAAGCTGGCACTGCCAGGCTGTCTGGTTGCCTTGATCCCAGCAGGGAAGGCCACGAGGTCCTTTCTTTTAGATCTTTCCTTGCTCACATGGGTGGAGAAGGCAGCGTGGCGAAGGAGAAAAGTGCCCTGCCCACAGCCAACCTGCCCACACCCAGATCCTGGCCGTGCCTGTCACTGCACAGCAGCTCGTCTAGCTTCTCCCTGACTCTCTGGTTTACCTGTCACGAGGACAAAGATGACAGAGAGTGTTAAGTGGAGATGACTGAATGATACGTTTGGTTTGATGCCTCGTATATAGTACATGCCGTGCAAATGTTTGATGCTGGGCACATCTAGCGGGAATTGTGATGCAGAGAAAAATCCTGGCTGTTTCTTTACACCAAAGAAAAGGAAAGATTAAATCCAGGTGGTTTTCATGGGTTCTCTCTTGCATTCTAATCTCCTCTTCCTGCCATTCCAGCCACTCCCCCTACGTAGGAAAACCCCACCCCTCTCCCTCCTGAGCTGTTTAGTCTGTAGGATCTTTCTCTCCTGATGCAACTCCTGAAATACAACCACTCTCAATAGTGTGTGTCCCAACGGCTGCATTTTCTACCCACAAAGTTCCGTGGAAGGCTCCGGTTGAAGATGCATTGTCAGTTCTCCACATAAACACCTAGAAGGACCGCTCTGCGGGAGGGAAGGGGAGAGCCCATCCTCAATCTCCACCTTGTCCCTGTATACTGCCTCCTGCAGGGGTGCCTAGGTCCTCACTCCTCTCTGCCCCTCCATCCCTTCCTCTCCCTTCCTCCCTTCCCCTCTCTCCCTCTCTCTACATCTCTCTCTCCCTCTCCCTTCCTCCTTTTCTTACTCTCTCTGCCTCTCCCTCTCCTCTCTCTCTGCCTCCCTCCCTTCCCTCTCTATCTGCTTCTCTCTTTCCCTCCCCATCTCTCTCTCTTGCCATCTCTCAGCCTCTCTGTCTTTCCTTCTGTCTCTGTCTATTCCTGTCCCAGTATCTTCCTCTACCTGAACCCCTCATACAGCCAAATGATCACATAGCAATCCCAAACTTGGAACCTCCATTCCTGTAGCACTGCTGTTTTCAATGCTCCTTCCAGTCTGGACTGAGATATGTAAAATTTTCAGTTCATCTCTTTGTCCTCCTCTTGCAGAAGGTCATGCTGCTGTAAGAAACAGGATCTCTAATCCAGCAGTCTCTAGAGGCCCCTAGTGTCAGGGGCACACATAGAGTGTAGTTGTACCTTTGATTTTGGTTTACAGCAGGCAGCTGTTGAGGATGAGCATCCCTCATTCCCCTGTCCTTTAGCTTGAGCACAGGTGTGGGGGCTGTTCCTTCTGTTGTATAACACATCTCACTCAGCCTTCATACATGGCGCCTCAGGATGTGCTGCCATTTGCCAACAACATCTGTTGAACATCTGCCAAGAGCCAGTGAGGTTGCAGGGCCTGTGGTCAGCAAAGAACAGAAACAGCCACACACTACCTAACATCCAGCCACATACCAAATAGCACGGTGAACTGCACAATTTTCCCGATGGGACAAAAAATTAAGGCAAAGAGAACACATGTTCTGACCGAGGTAGGATGGAAGTATTTGCTTTGTCACTGATAGTGGAGCAGAGAGAGGATGTGTCACTGAGAACGTGGAACTGGGGTGAACTTATGAAGACGCCAACAGAGATAGCTAAGTGTTCACCTGGAGGAAGCCTTTCCAAGGACAGGGATGGCCAGTGCAAGGTCCCTAAGCTCCCATGTGTCAGCTAATTCCAAGTAGACACATGAGGTCAGGTGACTTGGCTGCAGAAGTGGGTAGGTTTGACAGAGCACTTCTTGGCAATTATAGAAATTGAGCTTCTGTGCTAGAAGGATGGCTAGCCACTGGGAAGGTCTAGGTACAGTGGCATGACAGGGCTCACGGTTAAAATTCATGTGAGTTGAGAATAATATGTAAGTTATAGGGCCGAGGACAGAGCAGAGCACCAGTAAGGAGGTTTGTGCAGTGAGACATCAGAGGCAGTGACTGAAGGAAGCATTTCCCAAGGACCCCCAAGAACCGGTAAACCAAGAAGATGTCTTTTGACAGTGCAGCAGACTGAAGTGTGTTTGTGGCAAAGAAGAACAGCAGATAGATTCTGCCCAGCAGGACTTCCACAGGGAGGAAGAGAACAGCAGCCTTGCTTGGTGTTTGGCTGGGCCTCATTGGGTAGAGACCTGGCATCTCTGGGTTTTATTCTTAATAACTCTACGCTGGTAACTGCACAACTCCCCACCCCATTTCCAAGGGACCCTGTGGTTACTCAGGTAGTTTTTGGTTTTCTCCTGAGCATCTTTTCCTTCCAATTCTACCTCTGGAGATAACCACAGGAAAGGCTCTGTGGAGAAGAGACAATGACAAGCTGGGTTAGAATCAGCTCATCTCAAATGGTGAACGACACTTGGCATCCTTAGCTAAGTGGAGGAGGCCAGAAGCAAAGGGGTTGGAAAGCTGGTTTCAGCAGGAGAATCCAGGGCTGGGCCCCTAGGACAGATGTAGTGGGCTTTTTTGAAATGATATGGTATTGTAGGAAGAGCGGGTTTCAACAGCCTCCTGTAACTGAGGGGATTTCTGTGGGTTTGTCCCTTCTAACACCTTTACCACCAACACCTTCACCAACTAAAAAAAAATCTGTATCTGCAGATTTCTGCCTGTGAGGAGGTATAGGGAGACGTCAGGTTCCTTCTCTCCCTCATTTCTTCCTTTGTCACTTTCCTTCATTTTTGTCCCTTCCTGCCACCTCTCTCCTCTTTGTCTTTTCCATCATAGTCTGCTCATTTGATACATTTAAGCTCTACTCAAGTTTAAAGTGAAGTGTAAATGAGGTCCTGTCAGTCTCCATGAGCCCTGTAACTAAGTATTGGAAGCCCACCTTCTGAGAGGTTCTGTGTGGTCCGAGCATCTGGTGACAGGAGACGCCAGTTCTATGAGACAGGCACTCTAGTGCCCTTTTTGCCTCTTGCCTGGGGTTTTTGTTCCTTTCTAGATCTCCACAGCTGAGCTGAGGCTGTCTTGGGAAGCATCCACTGTGGGTATGGGGACCATAGGTCTCCCTGAAGGCCTAACTGAATGCTGCAGTTGCTTTTCCTGTCAGTAGCAAATGGCTTTTGACCTCTGTGGAAGCTGTTCTCTGCCAAAGCCAGGGTGACTGAAAGCCCTATTTTCAGTGACTTGTCAATAGAAATATGTCTTTGGCAAAAGCCATAAAAGTGGTTCGAGATCCAGGACCACTGAGCAAGGTTAGACAACAGGATTACTGTCCATGCTTCACTGAACTAAGAGAGCAATCAGGTTCAGCTTTTGCCCCTCCCCCTGGCTGTGGCTCCTCCCACTCTACAACCTGCATCTCTTTCCTCTAGCCTCAAGTGACCAGAACCGCACAGGACAAGATTCCTATGTCCTCATGGCCAGCTCCCAGGTAGAGATGGAGGAGTGGGTTAAGTTCCTCAGGAGAGTTGCTGGCACGCCCTCTGGAGGTAAGAACTCTCACAACCCTTTCTGAGCAGGCCTCTGGGGAGAAGGAGGAAGCAGGCTTGAGGGACCACCTCTCTATGCAGTGTTCAGAGGGGAGAGATCAGAGTCCCCCAGGGGCCATTGGCCAGGGCCTCTGCTGAGCTTGAGGAAAAGATGTTTCCACATATCTAGCTATCCTCCTAGCTCACCTCAAAAGGCCAACTCCAGATCAAATGGAACAATAGTGGACTGTGACACCCCAAAGTAGGGCTTTCTCCATTTTGGACAAAGTACACTCTTTGAGATGAACAGCTTGGACTAGCTGCTCTGGGTCCCTGGTGGCGTTAACTCTTACTGCACCATGGGTATGTCCATTGTGTCCCCAAAAGGGCTGATGACATGATTTGCAACCAAGGCTGGTCAGGACAGAAGGGCAGCTGCCCTCTGGGGAGGTAGGAGGGGTCTCTGCTGGTCTTACAGATGTGTGGCAAGTTCTGCATTTAGGCCTTTCTAGGATGTATGGTGTTTGAGCAGTTTAGCAGTGTTTTCACACTTGGCAATGGCCTGACTGCAAATGACAAACAACAAAAACCTGATGCAGAGCGTCTGTGAAGTCAACACGTGTGAATTTAGCGCGTTCTCTTCATTTTATAAAAACATAAGACAGCTCAAATGGATATGTTCGCAAAAATACTGCTTTCCAAACATTATAGAGAATAAACTACTTGTGTTGACTCCAGGAAAACTATAAATATGTAATTAATTATTGATGACATCTCTTATTTTAGAGCTCATTTATGGGAGCATTCATGGTTAAATATTGATTTGATTTCCCAACAATTCCTTTCAGAAATTATAAGAACACCAAAATAATTTTATGTGAAGTGGAAAAAATCAGTCATTTGAATTATTTTAATGCTTCTTTGTCCCAGCCAGGGCTGCATGTACATTTTTTTTTCCTGAAAGATAAATGTAGAATGTATAAAATTTTATATGCCTTATAACTTAGTTATTCTATGTTACTATAAAATCTTTTAAATGTTAATTTTTATTATTTGTGTGTGTGTGTGTGTGTGTGTGTGTGTGTCTGTGTATGCATATATATGTGGTGCTTGTGGAGGCCAGAAAAGGGTATCAGATCTCCAGGAGCCATAGCTACAGGCAGTGGGCTCCCCATGGATGCTGAATCCATACTCTCACGGTCTGCAAGAACAATTGCCTTCTTAACTGCTGAGCCATCCCCCTCATCTCCATCATAGGATCTTATTGAGTCATTCCAAGGATTGTCTTAATGCAGAATAGAAGTCATGTCCAGTGATGTTAAGGAACAGAAAGGGTTGCTGGGTAGATACACTGAGGACAGGGACTGCGATGGGCCTCACAGGGTCAGGAACTGAGAAGTGGAATTCGTATCCATTTCTCCTGGGCCCATTGATTTTTCCTTGCACATCTGCTTGTTTTTGGATCAGCCAGCAGCACCTCTTGCCCATACTTGTCCTACATATGTTTCTAAACCAGCCAACTTCTCTCTGCCTCTCCTCCCGGTGCTAGCTCGACCTCTGCAGCCCCATTATTAACTCCTGAGAAAGAAGCTCCACCTTGCTCAGCTGAGGTCAGGATTCCGCCTGAAGACCTGGATCATGTGGCCCACAAGGGGGGGCTTGGAGAAAGAATCCATTAGAGTAGGAGTACATCTGTCAAGGTGGTAACTAACATTTGCACCAGTGCTGCAGAAAGCTCCCTGGTTTCACTGGCCATTTCCCAAGTCCTAAACACACGCTTTTATTATAATAACTGTGACCAGAGGATTTTTTTCTTTTTCTTTATCATGCAAAAGCTTGATTCTGGGCCTTCTCTGTCTGGAATAGCTTTGCCATGACCTACCTTAAGCCCTGGACTGCAAGGTCAAGAGCCTGCTGACACATCCTTTTCCCACTGAAGGGCTTTGACCATCAGCAGGGGTCATGGGTGTTGTCTAACTTTGCATCTGTTCTGTCTTAAAACTATCTCTGTGCTCTCACTGGGACCTGTGCCTTCTGCCAGCATTGTGAGACTTGTCCCACTGACCTGCTGTGCCCTGTCCTCACACTCAAAGGGGTCCCTTCATCAAGGCTTCAGCCACCACCCTGAGAAGGAAACCGAGTTTAAGTCCTGGGCATGGGGCTGTGTGGAAGTGGGGGTGGGGAGCTAGAGACTGCACCGTGGGCTTGTTTGGGGAACAGTGTTAGTAAGTGAGGACTACACACTAGACCAATGTGACAATGTCACAGAGTAAAAAAAGGGAAACTGACCCTCGGTGTCATTTTCCTGAGACTGAAGAGTTCTGATCTTTCCTCCTGAGCAAAGGTGGCCTCTCTACTTATTGAACAATATAGAGAATAGAGAATCAAAAAGGAATGAGGAACATTTGTCTTGATCAGTCTTTTATAGGAGGCTCAAGGGGAGGATCTCATTTCTGGGATCTTACTGACTCAGGATAGCACACAAAGCTATGGCCATCAGTACCAGTCTATACCTGTGTGTTATTTGCATCATTTTTTTTGGGGGGGGGGGGAGGAGGGTGTTGCTTTCATGGGTCTGCTGCTCTCAGCAAATGGTCCTCAGTCTAGTGACACCAGCTTACATGCACATTTGTTGTTCTGAGTCAGGGGCATGGCTGAGCCTTGAAGGAGAGACAGGTAGCATAGTACCTCAGGAGTCCAAAGTCTCGTAAGACCGATTAGGTTGTTTTTCTTAGAAGTCAGTTGATTCTAAGCAGGCTGGGGAGGCCGTATGTATGTAGAATGAATACATAGTTCTAAGTTATGGCAAAGCCATTACTAATTGGGTACAGGTGAGGTAAAAGTTTGATTTGTGAAGGCGAGTATCGTACAGCATTTCTTAGAAAAGTCATTCCCACGGACCAGGCACAGGTTGCAGACCACAGAACTTCACTGCAGTCCCAGACATCACTCATTGGCTCTTCCCAGGTTAAGGCAGGGAACCTCAGTCCTGCAAGAGTGGATGGTCGCTCCCAGGAGACTGTCCGGAGAGGGGCGGGGCCAGGTCTCTTTGTGTTGCACCATCAGTGAACTGCAACTGGGTCAGTTCAGATGTTCTCCTGAAAACAGTGACATCACCAAGACACATTGCCCTCCTTCCAACCCGAGGGCAGCTCTACGTTTCCCACGTCCACTTCAACCACCTCTCATTACCTTCACTCCTGTGCCTGGTCAAGAAAGACTCGTCCCTGCTCAAACCCCCCCCACTAAACTGCCATATCTGCCCTCTGACACGCTGATGTCACTTTATCAGAGTGATCCTGACAACGGTCATGCCAAGGCCCCTCTGCTCAACCCTTTCTTTCTCTTCCATTCTCAAAGTAAAAGCTAAAAGCTTTATACTGGTTCACAATGCACAATGTTCCCAGAGTGAGTTCTTTGTCCTTGTTTTCTAGACCCTTCTTTCATGCCCATTCCACTCCAGCATCACCTTCTGTACCATCATCAGCCTCTTCACACACCACAGGCATGCTCCTGCCTTAGGGCTCTTGCATATTATGTTCTGATTAGAATCCTCTGCATGGCTTGATCACGTGTATGTGTGTGTGTGTGTATGTGTGTGTGTGTATGTGTGTATGTGTGTGTATATATGTGTGTGTGTGTATGTGTGTGTGTGTGTATGTGTGTGTGTGTGTATTTGTGTGTGTATGTGTGTGTGTATGTGTGTGT